TCATAATTATCATTGCATATCATAAGTCATAACATTAATTAATTGTTTGGTTTTTTTTAAATAAAATAAAATAACACACTTGATAAAACAGTAACATGTAAAATCAATACCTTCTTTTAGCTGGAAACCTCCACTAAAGTATTGCAGTAAGTTGATTCCAAGCATAGCTTGGTAAAATAACTTGCTTCTTCGAGAGCTGCAGATCTGAGCATGCGCGACCACACCCAAATTTTGGAGCACATGGCAAGCTTCTTTAATTAACAAAATGGCGGCATGCAGCTAAGATGGCTCGATCCAGCAGTCACAGTATCACTTTTTCCTCACTTGAAGAATGATCTAATGGGACATGGACCTGCGCATAGACTTTTGGAGTAGATTGGTGTAAGAATTATCCTTGTAGCACCAACCAATACCAAGATACACACCGACAACTGGATTGACAGGACTTGATGAAGATGAAGATGATGATGATGATGATGATGAAGATGAAAAAAGGTGGCTGAACAAAACGGCCGGTTCGCCGATTTTTGAATTTCCTCTTAGACAAGGTCTAGAGCCACGCTAGTGGTACCATTGGAGTCCTCTGGTCAAGATAAGGTCCTCTATAAAGTCTGGTAAGCGTAGGAGCTCGTTTTCCCGGTATAGCAAGGCTGCAAAAGTCGTGGCAGCCATTTTGTTTGGGGGTGAATCCTACTTAGTAACGCTACCGCGTTACTAATAGTACAGCAAATTTTGTCCGATTTTGGAGCAAATTTAAAAATTCGTAAAAAAATTTAATTTCGATTGAAATCAGCTCAAACTTTCTACACAACATAAGAACATGTATATGTATTGGGAAAAATTATAAAAATGAAGAATTCTCTACTTTTAATTTTTTGGCAAAGTTTGGCCAATGACCCTGTACTATAGTACAAAAACAAAATAGATATAACACAGGGATAAATAGTAGGTTAAAAAAGAGATAATAATAACGGAAATAAGTGAGAGAAAAATAATAAGATAAAATGAATAGGTTAGGTTAGGGTAAGATGAGCTTCTGAGATAGCTCTGCAGAAATTGTTTGAATCAAATGATCTCATTCTGGAGCGAGATCCCCTTAAGCACCTGATTGCTGCCTTGAGAATAGTGAAAGAGTATCGACAGCAAATCAGGTTAATGGTGACACTATAGGACCTCTGAAACTTCTCTGAGTGAAGTGTTGCTAGGCGCTTAATAAACAGAGCTGATACAGGGCCAAATCCCCCAGAGTTGAAAAGACCAAAGGTGAGAAGCAGCCATGTTCAACGTCTCTTATCCTCTGTTCATACTTCCTCTTCTTTAGTGACTCATTGTCCCTGTAACACTGCTTCAATGACTTAGATTGGTAGTATGATGACAATGGGCAGAAAACTCTTACATCAAAAAAGGCCCTCTGATATCTGTTTCCCCAAAAACCATCAACAGCAATGTCCAAGCGAGCCCCATCATCAGTAGACGCTGATCGAAGGTGAAGAGATTCCCCTGATAAGGGTTGTAATGAAGGTTCTCTACACACATTCGAGCAGACATCCTGTAACAATGAGGCAGACAGATCCCGGACATCAGTATGACGTAGGGTAACTAGACCACCATATGAACAGATCAGGGAGTGAGAGACAGAAAATGCCTCACCACAAACACATGTCAAGGGAAG